GCCATCGCCGTTCGCTGCTCCTCTCCGCCGTCGAGCCACTGCCACCCCAACTCCATCTCAGACCGTGTAGCACCGCCCCCGGTCCCCCAGAACCTCCCGTCGCCGGCCTGCTTTCCAGCCAAGGCGAGTGCACCTCTCGCCGGTCTCACCCTCCGTCCGCCTCCGCCGCTTGCCGCCACTGTCCGGCACCCCAAACCACCACCACCAGCTGCCATTACGTCCTTAGACCAGCCCCCGAGTCGACTCGAACAGCCACCTACAGCTGCTCCTCCGTCGCGCCATCCACCGCCGTTCTTGCTCGCCGTTCGTCCTCGTCGCTGCAGCTGCTGGTCCGCTGCTGTCCAGGCCACCTAGCCGCCGTCGCCAGCTGCCGTTCACGACTAGATCAGCCCCCAAGCAGCCCCGACCAGCCACCACAGCAACCGCTCCTTCACCGCTCCTGGATCGCCGCCGTTCATCACTCGTAACGCAAAACCGGAGCCGCCATGAGCGAGCTCGCGTCGTCGCCGTCGTTCTCATGTTAACGCCATCGTTAAACGAGTAAGTTAACCCCTAATCCCTCGTTTAGGGTGTTAAACTTGCTTAGGGCAGTTTAGTTTAAGTTTATGGCTAGTTAAGTGGGATTATGCGATAGGTTATCAGAAAGTTCGATAAGCTATGATTATTTGTGTCATAGGCTATTGCTGGGTTTGCGATAAGCTATTGCGTATTTGTTGATAAGTTATCAATTATTTTATTATTATTGATTATTTTATTAAATATATTAATTTTCGGAATTAAATATTAATATTTTATTATTAAAAAAATACTATTAAAAATACTATTAAAAATAATTTATTTCCGAAAATTAAATATGCATATTTGAATGATTTTTAATAGCAAATTGCGATTTTTATGCTTGAATTATGATGCTTATGCTAAGAATTATTGTGTTAATTAATTAGTATAGCTAAATGATTATAATAACTATTTTCAAGAAAAGATTTCGATTTTTCGAAAATGAATATTTGTCATCGCTATGTCTACAAAATGAATTTGATGTCTTGAGAAAGAAAGCATGTTTGAAATGAGATTTACAAATTGATTGACCGTTTGCATGTGTGACCACTTGGTTTGTTATGCGGCATTGTGTGAGCACTATTCATGGACGCATGGGCTAATTGAAGAGATAATAATTGGCCGGAATGCTTGCGTGCTCGTGTGGTCACACGTCGGAGCCGTCTTGCCGTAGATCGCTTGACGATGCCCGATTTATCGAGGTCTCGCTACTGAGATCGCGCTTGATTTTATCGGATGCCTGGAGATTATCTGGATAGCCGATACTCCGGATGCCGAATCGCGGCCCGATGGCGGATTCGATCCTCCTTACGGGATACCATCTTACTGTAGATCGTTTGATGTTGCTGTATTGGAATGCCGTCTTACTGTAGATCGTTTGACGTAGCCGTGCCCGACGGGGCGAGACGGAGCCCGGTTATGCCGGAAGACTGCCATCTTGCTGCAGATCGCTTGATGTGTGGTGGCCCCGAGGGGGCGTAATAATTGGAATACGTGTGATGCATAGTGCCTGATTATGTGATAGAAACTGCTAGGCATGGTATGGGACGTGCCCAAGTGGATTCTGTCTTATAATCGAGACACGCGCGCCTGTGATGCAATAATGCATGGGAAATCTATTTAAATGCTTCGAGTATGTGACATGTTCATTTCATCAACGAGTGTATCAAGGCGAGGTAAGGATGCATGTGGTTGTTTAATGATGTTGTTGTTGATGCTATATTGCCTGGTTAGGGACCCCCGAGGCGAGTAGGCCTCCTAAGCGGGGCTTAGGCCGTTAACTTATTGAGATTTTATCTCATTTGTTGTTGTTAAACCTTTTCAGGACCTTAGCATGTCGTTGCTCCCTATGCAGTTTGGAGTACTGTAGTTTTTGGTTGGTCCTTGAGGGTTAGGCCTGGAAGCTGATCTTTTGTATGGAGTAGATTAACCCTAGCCTTTATCTTTTGCTGGCTTTTTGTGTAAACGCCCGAAGTGGGCTTGTAAGTATGTTCCCAGGGTTAATCGATAAAAAAAAATGGCTTTTGTTATGACTAGTTTTCCTCTGCTATCCCAGATTTGATTATTGTCTGGGGTTTGTCGTGTTGGTTATCGTTTCCACTTGTGTAATTCAAAGATAAAAAGAAAAGGGTCGGCGACGAGTCCTGGGTCGTCGCATCTTAACGACCATAGCGGGATGTTGTATGTCCGTAGGGTTCGGGGCGTGACAAGTGCAGTAAAGGAAAGTAAAGATAATTAAAAGATAACATTTTGGTTGATCTATCGGGGGTCTTATCTGAAGAGTACAATGTGGCTATTTAAAGCCTACAATCAACAATTATCAATGGAGGTTACACACGGTTACTAAAAAATAAATAACTTTCTAACGGCTACAAGAAGTTACAAATAAAGGTTACAAAAAGAAGTTACAAATAGAGGTTATGAATGGTTACCGAACGGTTATCAATGGTTACGTTGACTCCACTATGTCGATGGTTTCTTCGATTTCACTACGTTGACGGTTGCTCTTTTTACGGTTGCATCCAATATTGTTGACTCCGCTTTTTGTCAATTCTTTCAAGTTGGCAAATCGCCGATGGCACTCAAGCGATCGATTTTTCAAATTTGTGGCACTTAAGCGAGCAAAAAAAAATACGTTATGACACTTAAGTGAGCGCTGTACGAAAGTTATGATACTCCTAGTGTACTTATCCCCATGATTTTCTGATCGAACCTTATAGGGTGGCTTACAATAAATTAAATGATTTGATTATCCAATAGCAAATGCTTCTTTAGGTCGCACATCTTTGCCCTCATGTCTCTGTATAATAAAAAATTACAACAACCCTTGGGAAAGCAAAGATAGAGCTTGTCGGCAATGGTTAAACTTATTGAAACCTTGCGGTGGTGCGAGTTGTAGTTCAATTATTAGATTAGTGTATTTACTTGGAAATTCATCCCAGTAAATTCTGTTTATGCTCTGCCATTGGGGTAATAACACTATAAGTACCCGAATTTTTGTCCATTAAGGTAATATTATTTAACCATAATATGTACATGCTGGGGATTGTGGAAAAATATACCAAAGGGAGAAAGTTTTCTAGGATATTGGTCCGAGATTATACAATAGAAAATCTATTTGCATCAATACTAATTTACTATTGTTAACGAAAACTCTTATCCGAACCAAAAACAATTGGAGAGTGATCGAGATTGCTCCATGGTTCACGCTCGACCACAAAATGCACCGACAGGGGCGGGATGGAATGTTGAATTTACGTGAATCCAAGAGCGAGGAAATTTATTGATAACTCAAAATGGTCAAATGAATATAAGAAACCCTAACTAACATGGCCCTGTTGTGGTCAACATAGTCGACAACGACTACTACAGTAGCTTCGGTCTAAGTTTCGACAGCCTTAACATAGAGAGAGACAGAGAGATCACACGACTAAATTTAAGAGGTGCACCGAACAAGGCAGCACAACTCCTGCTGTAGGGCACTAAGAAGAATAGACAAAGCCGTTCTCCGACTTTTCCTTTGCATATTTAATTTATGCATCATATCCTACCTTAATGCCTGAATAAATTATTTGAGTTTTTATCCGGATCTGTTCGGAGGAGAAATTATCCAAAAAGTTATAAACTTATTACACATTTGTCAGTGGCTGGGCGAGGCGGGGAGGCTCGACCTCGCCAGATCTAGAGAGTTCGAGCCTCCCGCAGTCAGTCGACAAGGAAGAGTTGTGCGAGCTGTTGGCAAAATCTTGCACTACAAAAAAAACAAGGATTTAGCCACGGAAATTTGCGACGAATTATTTTTCGTGGCTAATTTGCGACGGAATTTGCGACGAATTTTTTTTCCGTAGCAAATTAGGCACGAAAAATTATTCGTCGCAAATTAGCGACGAAAAAAGAATTCGTCGCAAATTAGCGACGAAAAAAGAATTCGTCACAAATTTCCGACGAATTTTGCGACGAAAAAAAACCCATGGCTAATTTGCGACGGAATTTGCCATGAAAATAAATTCGTGGCAAATTTGCGACGAAATTAGCGACGAATTTTTTTCCGTTTCTAATTTGCGACAAAAAAAAAATGTTGTCGCTAATTTGCGACGGAATTTGCCACGAAAAAAAATTCATGGCGAATTTGCGACGGAATTAACGACGAATTTTTTTCCGTTGTTAATTTGCAACGAAAAAAAATTTCGTCGCTAATTTGCGAAGGGATTTGCCACGAAAAAAATCCGTCGCTAATTTGCAACGGAATTTGAGACGAAAAAAAATTCGTAGCTAATTTGCGAGGGAGTTAGCAACGGATTTTTTTTCGTCGCTAATTGTCCGTGCTACTTGTAGACCCAATTTCTCTCTCTCCCTGCTAATTCCTCTTATCCCTCTTCGCTGTTCTCCCTTCCTCTCCCTCTTTCATTTCTCTCGATAAATCTCTCCGCATGCGCAAAAATCTGTCTCGGTAAACCTTTTCTACCGGTAAGTGGCGTGACTAATTTGCGACGAAGACGGTTCGTTGCAAAACTATTGACGAATTTTTGTTATTTTATTGAGTTTTTTTCTTCTCTTTTTTTTTTCTAACTTCGTCGCCGGTCACCAGTCCGGCAACCGGCGACCGGTGAGACCTCGCCGGCCATGGGCGGGGCTGCTGGACCTCGTCCAGATCTGGGCGAGGCCGCTCGGCCTCGCCATGGCCGCTGCTCGACCTCGCCGCAGAGGTCCAACATGGCCGCCGCGAGGTTCAACGGCGGCCATGGCGAGGCCCAAGCTCGACCTCGCCGCCCAGATTTGGCCGGCGAAGTGACCTCGTCCATGGCCGGCGAGGTCCAACTCGCCGGCCTCAGCAGGTCGCCGGTCGCCGGACCGGCGACCGGAGAAAAATATTTAGGAAAAAAAAATTCGGGAAAAAAAAATTCGAAAAAAATATTATTTAAAAAAAAAATTCGGCAAAAAAAATTATTATAAAAAAATAAAATCTGAAGTCAATTTTTTTTTGTAGGTACTTATCCGTTTGAAAGTCTCGCAGATGAAGTGAACGTTGCAATTCTCATCAAATTGAGCACTTTCTACTACAAAGATTTCAGTCAAATACTTGGGTAAGTCTTCTTGACATGGTAATTGTTTTATTTTTTTCAATTTCAAAGTCATTGTTTTGGCCAAAAAAAAATTTAATTTTTAGAATTTTATGGTTTTAATTAAGAAAATTTTTTGGTTTTAATATTTTACGAGATTTTGTTATTTTTATATAGACACAATGCAAAGAGACAGGGCTTGGATGTATAATAAGAACTTACCTGGACGTCTAGGATTGACCGATGAGTTTCGTACTGGGTTGGAACTATTTTTGGACTTTGCTAATAGTAAATATGAGTTAATGGATGGAAATAAGTAAAGGTGTCCGTGTAGGAAGTGCAGTAATGGTAAATTTCATGTGTGTGATACAGTTAGAGAACATCTTTGTAGATTTGGGTTTACTCCGAACTACTATAATTGGACTTGTCATGGTGAACCATTTATATTTGATGAAGGTTTGCGAATAAGTGGCCAATTTTTAGTTAGGAAAGAATGTAGCTATTATGATCAATTGAACCCATACCAGAGGATGGTGATTGATGCAGCTGGTCAGAATGTTGTTTCAGATCCGAACCATGCAAGTACAAGTACTAGTTTTACTCCTACACTTGAACAATTGGAAGAGATAGGAGTAACAGGTTTTGATGAGAATGTGTGTAATGAAACGTTTCCATCTAATCAGTTCTGGGAAGTGTTGAAAGCAGCAGATGAACCTTTATGGGCAGGTTGTGACAACCATACTCAGTTATCAGTGACAGCAAGATTGTTAAATATCAAGGCAGAGCATAATGTGTCTGAGAATTGCTTTAACTCTTTTGTTGAAGTAATGCGAGAAACAATGCCTCGTGATAACATCATGCCAAGTGATTTTTACGATATGAAGAAGTTAGTGGATAACTTAGGTCTTCCAGTTGAAAGGATTGATATATGTAGTAGGGGTTGTATGTTATATTGGAGAGATGATGAAAATGCAGAATCTTGCAAATTCTGTAGCCAACCTAGGTACAAGATAAACAGGAGGCATGGTCGTAATCAGAAGCGTAGACCATGCAAGCAAATGTTTTATCTACCCTTAATCCCCAGATTGCAAAGGCTTTATGCGTCTCAAGCCACTGCTGAACACATGACTTGGCATGCAAATCATGAAACAGAAGAGGGTCTAATGTGTCATCCTTCAGATGCAGAGGCATGGAAACATTTTGATAGAACATACCCTGAGTTTGCGATAGAGCCTCGAAACATCAGGTTAGGTCTCTGTGCTGATGGATTTGCCCCATTTGGAAAATCAGGGAAAAGTTATTCATGTTGGCCAGTTATCTTAACTCCGTACAATCTTCCACCCGGTATGTGCATGAAGACACCTTATATGTTTTTGACATTGATCGTGACCGGCCCGCAAAATCCGAAAAAGTTGATAGATGTTTATATGCAACCATTGATTGAAGAGTTACAACGGCTATGGAATGAAGGTTCGTTACGTATGATGTTTCTACTAATCAAACATTTGTAATGAAGGCTGCTCTTCTTTGGACGATAAATGACTTTCCAGCATATGGAATGTTATCTGGATGGAGTATAACTGGGATCTTAGGATGCCCGATATGTTTGCAGAGATCGAAGTCATTCAGATTAAGACATGGTAAGAAGCCCTGCTATTTTGACTGTTACAGACAATTTTTGCCGATGAATCATACATTCAGAAGGAATAAAAAAGAGTTCATTAAGAATATGATTGAAAGAACTCCTCCACCATTGAGGTTGATCGGTGATCAAATATGGGAGCAAGTGCATGACTTTCCAACTGTTGTTGAAAACCCTCATGGCACAACTATTGCGTACGGAAGTGTACATAAGTGGACTAAACGCAGTATATTTTGGGATCTACCATATTGGAAGGCCCATCTTATTCATCATAATCTTGACGCCATGCACATTGAAAAGAATGTTTTCGACAATGTCATAAATACTGTGATCGATGTCACGGGAAAAATAAAAGATAACTTGAATGTAAGAAAAGATATGAGAAATATTTGTGATCGACTAACATTAGATGTGGATGCAAGCAGCAGGGGACCAAAACCAAAAGCAGTTTATACATTGGATAAGGAGCAGAGACGAGTCGTTTGTCAATGGTTGAAATCTGTGCGGTTTCCTGATGGATATGCTTCGAACATCGGGAGATATGTTGATTTGAGCGAATGCAAGTTGACAGGATTAAAGAGTCATGATTGTCACATATTTATGGAAAGACTAATTCCAATAGCTTTGAAGGAACTTCTACCAAATTTTGTATGGGGCGCCATTACAGAGTTAAGTAATTTCCTTCATGATATTTGCTCAACAGTGTTAAAAGCATCACACATGGAGAAACTGGAGAGAGACATTCCAATTATTCTTTGCAATTTAGAAAGGATATTTCCTCCATCGTTTTTTTATTCAATGGAGCATCTCTTAGTTCACTTGCCTTATGAGGCCAAAGTTGCAGGTTCCGTCCAATTTCGATGGATGTATCCATTTGAGAGGTAAAAAAATTTTCAAAATAAATTTCAAAATACTTTATTATATATTATATTCTGATAAACTTCTTTCTATTGCAACAAGGTTCTTATATCATTTGAAGAAAAAAGTGAAGAATAAGCCATGTGTTGAAGCTTCAATTTGTAATGCATATATTGTGGAAGAAGTGACAATATTTGCATCATACTATTTTGAGCCGCACGTGTAGTGCAAGAGGCGGAGAGCAGGAAGAAATGATGAAGGTCCCATCGATCCCAATTGCAAATCATTCTCTATTTTCAATTATCTTGGTCGACCAAGCGGCGCATGTCAGTTTCGTTGCTTAACAGGCGAAGAACGGCAGGCAACCCATACCTATATTTTACTGAACTGTCCAGAAGTGGAGCCATACTTCCAGTAAGTGTATATTTGTAAATATATGTATTGCGTGTCAAATATTTACTAATATATAAATGTAAATTGTTAATAGGATTTTTCAAAATTCAATGTATGGACTACCGCCAAATGAGTTCGACCGTTTGTGCGATGAACAATTTGCAGCATGGTTCAAAACATATGTAAGTTGCCTATAGACCAAAATCAAGTTATTAATATTTTATACATCATTTAAATATATATTATTGACTTTTCGTGTGTAATCTTAGGTTCACAGTAATCATGATCAAGTTGAAGAGCAAGGATTGCTATATTATCTGTCATGGGGTGCACAGTCAAGCATACGAACTTGGCCAGCATATTTCATAAACGGGTATAATTTTCACACTCAAGAATATGGAATGGGAAAAGCCACAATGAATAGTGGTGTGTGTGTTCGGTCATCCAATTGTGGTAGTTCAAAAGATGATTTTTATGGCTTGTTGGATGAAATCATCGAGATAGAGTACCCCGGACCATTAATGCGGGTTGTGTTATTTAAGTGCATGTGGTTCAACCCCGTCAAAGGAATGAAGGTGCATACGAAGTTTAATTTGGTTGAAATAAATCACAAGAAAAGGTATAAGAAATATGAACCATTTGTGTTGGCACAACAAGCAATTCAAGTATATTATGCATCATATCCTAGTTTGAAACGTGACAAAGCTGATTGGTGGGCTGTATGTAAAACCAAAGCACGAAGAAAAATCGAGGAACACCGGAAGGATACAAGCATATCAACAAGAGGAAGTTTGTAACGCGGTTCAAACGAGGAATATAACATTCCTACTTTACGAGATCCATGTGGAGCAAATGATAGATGTAGATCTAACTGAAATTCGCGAATCAAATTTAGAAGGTGTTGCATAATCTGATTTTGAGACAGAGGATGATGAGGATGATGATGATGATGACGACGATGATGACGACGATGACGATGATGCTCAAGAAGAAGATCAAGATCAAGATGAAGACAAAGGTGAAGATGAAGATTTAGATTTTTGAGACTTTTTACTAATTATGTTGTAATTATTATTATTATTATTATGACAAAAGTTTATTGTTGTTGTCGTAATTATTAGTATAGTTGTTGTTGTTGTTGTTATTATTATTGTAATTGTTGTTGAATATTATTATTGCTATTATTGTTAATGAAACGTTATTGTCTGGAAAAAAAAACGAATTACGCGGGTGTGGGATAGTAGAAATGAAATTCGTGGCAAAAATCCGTGGCAAATTTGCCACGGATTTTTGCCACGAATTTCTTGAAAAAAATCCCACAAACATGAATAATTTTGGGCTTTTTACGAAATTCGTGGCTAAAATCCGTGGCAAATTTGCCACGGATTTTAGCCACGAATTCGTCAAAAAATCCACAAACATGAATAATTTTCGCTTTTTACCAAATTCGTGGCAAAAAAATCCCACAAACATGAATAATATTGGGCTTTTTACGAAATTCGTGGCTAAAATCCGTGGCAAATTTGCCACAGATTTTTGTCACGAATTTCCTGAAAAAAAATCCCACAAACATGAATAATTTTGGGCTTTTTACGAAATTCATGGCAAAAATCCATGGCAAATTTGCCATGGATTTTTGCCACGAATTTCCTGAAAAAATCCCACAAACATGAATAATTTCGGGCTTTTTACGAAATTCGTGGCAAAAATCTGTGAATTTCCTGAAAAAATCCCAAAAACATGAATAATTTTGGGCTTTTTACGAAATTCGTGGCAAAAATCCGTGGCAAATTTGCCACGGATTTTTACCACGAATTTCCTAAAAAAAATCCCACAAACATGAATAATTTTGGGCTTTTTACGAAATTCGTGGCAAAAATCTGTGAATTTCGTAAAAAGCCCAAAATTATTCATGTTTTTGGGATTTTTTCAGGAAATTCGTGGCAAAAATCCGTGGCAAATTTGCCATGGATTTTTGCCACGAATTTCCTGAAAAAATCCCAAAAACATGAATAATTTTGGGCTTTTTACGAAATTCGTGGCAAAAATCCGTGGCAAATTTGCCACGGATTTTTGCCACGAATTTCCTGAAAAAATCCCACAAAAATCCCACGAATTTTTGCCGTGTTCTTCGGCGGCGGACGCTGGGAAGCGAGGACACCCAGCGCGCGGTCTGCTTCTGTTGGGTTCTTCGGCGGCGTCCGAGAGTGTTAGGTCTGCTTCTGTTGGGAAGCGAGAGGTACGTTTGCTTGGGTTTGCTTTTCGGCGTTATTTCTAGGCGATTGCGTCTGCTTATGCTTCTGTTCTGATATTTGTGTTGGGTCTACGATTGGGTCTGCTTCTGCTTATGCTTCTGTTCTTCTGCTTCTGTGCTTCTGCTTCTGTGTTGGCTGGTTTCTGTGTTGGGTCTACTTCTGCTTCGTTCTGTTCGTGGGCGAAACAGTTATGTTTCGTGGGCGCTTCTGTGCTTCTGCTTCTGTGTTGGGTCTGCTTCTGCTTCGTTCTGTTCGTGGGCGAAACAGAATTCTGTTTCTATTTCGCCCACGAATTTGATTCTGTTCGTGGGCGAAACAGACCCAATCTATTTCGCCCACGAAACAGAATCAAATTCCTCATATTTAAGTTGAAATTTGGTCGGATTTAGGTTGAAATTTGGTCGGAATGAGCTGAAATTTGGTCAAATTTGGGTTGAAATTTAGTTGAAATTCATTTGAAATTTGGTCGGAATGAGGTGAAATGTGGTCGGTCAAGTGGAATTTGGTCGGTCAAGTGGAAACGGCCCGCTGATCCAAAATCACCGCCTATGGCCGTGTCGCAAGTCGTTTTTTGGCTTTTTGGAGTCGTTTAGATGGGTTTTTTGGCAAAAAACGATTCTGGTGAATAGTGTTTTCCGTGACATTTGCGTTTTTTTTTTTTCGTTTCGGAGTAGTTTAGATGGGTTTTGAAAACTATTTCCAAACCTTCTTTGGCCTAGGTTGAAGCTTTGGCCATCGGGGGTAAAACTATTTCCGTGACAATTGGGTTTTCTGGAATGGCTCCCTTCGGGGTAAAGCCTTATAATTACTTGTTCAAAACTTATTGATTTCCTTGTTGAAGTTGATATATTCATTTTAAAGGGATATGTGCACCATAAAACATGCAATCAAAACTTATTAAAATTTGTTGAACAGAACTTACTGATTTCCTTGCATCATAAAATTTGTTGTGAAAGTGTAACTTATTAAGTTCTAAGGCTTTCAAAGCATGCAATTAAATTTTAAAACAAGTCGAATTACAGCAATTAACTAAAAATTTGATGACCCTGACCAGCTAGATGAGTTCTCCCTTTTTTACAGTTGTAGGACCAGAAATTTAGCTCGTAGACATTTCCGGACAGCTTCCTTTTTTTCAGGGGCCACGTTTCTCTCTTGCTCTCAATAACAAAATGGTAAGCTTCACGACATACGTCATTATGTGTCCTTAATACATGTTCATAATTTTTTACATTTTTGTCTAACCTTGCAACTTTTAGTATAAACGTGGAGGTCACATGCGTCGTGGTGATGCTTCACAAAGAAGACCAGGCCTTTCCACTTCCTCGTCCTCGTCCTCGTCCCTTTCCATTTCCCCACGCCCCTGCCCCTGCCCCTGCCCCTGCCCCTGCCCCTTCATCTAATCCTCAACTAGTACATGGACACATTGGCCCTTCCTCCGACCCTCAAATGCGAACTGAATTTACTTCAGTTCCATCGGCTTCGGTTCCACCTTCTTCTTCAACGCAACACTCGAATTATGAAGAAGATACCCGATTCATGATAGCCCCATTTGGAGATTCTTAAGTATTTCATTTTTTTAAGTATATGTGAATTATTATGGATGTCAACTGAATTGTCCGTATGCTTCACGGATGCTACGTATGTTGAAATAAGTTATAACCCGTTTGCAGATTCACGGATGCTACGCATGTTGTGAGGAGACTTAATAAAATAATCAATAACTATTGGATGGGCAGTATAGTAGTTGGACCACCGCTCCAAAAGAAGTAAAGGAATTGTGGTGGAATGAGTTCAAGGTAAGTTTTGTCCTTCTATTTCCTCACAAACTAAGTTCGATTTAGCATACTGAGTGTACAATTATTTTTCTATTGATTGCTTGCAGCGGAAGTTCAGGTGGGATGAAGCGGAAGAGAAAGAAGTTAAAAGAATTTTTAAGAAGAAAGCCGGTGATCACATGCAAAATGTGATGAATAAAGCAAAGAGAAAGCAAGAAAAGCCGGATTTTATTACAGCTGACAATTGGACGGAAATTATGAGAACTTGGGACACTGAAAAGCATAAGCAAATCAGTGAAATTAATAAGAAGAATCGAGCTTCTAGTTCTAGTGAAGGGTCTGCCACATATGCTGGGGCTCTATCAACATCGGGGAGCGTAGAAAAAGAATGGTTAGTCTTTTAATCATGTTGTAAGTTAAATCAATAATTATGTCGTAATTATGTCTATATTTTGTAGGCAGATGAATTGGGGACGGAACCAACATTTATGGCTACATTTGAACGCACCTTTCAGAAAAAAGATAAGACATGGACTGGCAATCGAGCAAAAGCTATTAAGGTATGTAAGGTTATATTTTGTATTTATATATATTAATTTTTTTTATTTTTATCTATATTGTTAATGTAGGACAAATATGATGAACTTGTAATGACCACGGCTGCTGCTAGTGGTGATGGTGATGGTGATGGTGTTGCTGCGTCCGAGTCATCGGTTGACAGTATGGCATTATGGATGGAGGCATCGGGTGGAATGAGAAGAGGTCAAATATTTGGGATGGGATCCTTGTCAAGGATGTACAGAACGCCGGCTGTTGCAACTTCATCCTCCAATGCGGCTTTTTTAAGGGCACAACACGAGGAGCGACAGGACCAAGCATTGAACCGCCTGAGACAATTACTTGTACAGAAGGACGAAGAAATGATAGGAGTGAAACAACGTTTGCAATTGATCATGCGACACCTCAACCTCGAAGTTGATGATGTTCCTCCTGTACCTCCTACTAATCCTGTGACATTCCGAATTTCGACCCATTTTTGGAATTTATAAAACGTATAATTCGTCAGTGTGCTTATAGTAAAATCTCGCCCGGGAACTGATCACTCTCGGTTATCGTTTTTAAAATTGAGATTTCGCTAGAATCGTACTCGATCGAATTTGGCCGTTATTTAGAGCCCGAATTTTGGTGTCAAATTTCTTGGAGTTTCGTGACGAATTTAATTGGACGGTGTCGATATTATTGTGGCCAGCGTCAATATTGCCCGAGATATGCGAAAAGTGAAATTTTGACCGGGTGCGGATTTGAACAAGTAGACCTCCCTCGTAGTGTGTTTTAGTTATTATCTTTTGGCCTTTTTCCTAATTTATAATTAGGGTATTTCGTGGGCCGTTGGATTATTTTCGGATTTGAACGATGGTCGTCGGATCGCACTAAAGTGCGTTTGACTTTCTCTCTCTTCTCTTCTCTCTCTCCTCCCCCACGTCGCCGCTGCCCCCACGCCGCTGACTTTCTCCTCTTTCCCCGCTGCCCTCCTCCACGTTGTTGACTCCTCATCTCACGTTGCTCCACCCATGCTTCTCGCTTTGCTTCGTTTCACTCGCCTTTGCTGCTGCTGCTCGCCGACTTCTTCCACCAACTCCACCAGCCATCATCACTCCCCCATACTTCAGCTGACTCCCCTACGTTGTCGACCTTCCCATGCAGCTGCCATGATGGACTTCCCGCTTTCTACGCTGCCGTGTTGCTTCGCTCCGCCCATGCCATTTCCGGCTTGCTTCGCTTCTGCACTGCGATTGTTTCGCCTCTGTTTCTGCTGACTTGCTGCTGACTTCTTGCTGCACCTTCACGTGTGCTTTGCTGACCATTGACCCATGCTGCCCCATGCTGCTTCACGTGCTGCTTCTGCCGGAATTGCTGCTGCCGCTGCTTCTTCTTCTCTTTCGCTGCTTCTTCTTCACTTCTGTTGCTGCTGTTTTCTTCTTCATTTTGCTTCTTTGCTTCTTGCTTTTTCTTGCTGCCGCTCACCAGACCGACCAGCTCCCTTGCTCAGCCACCCTCAGCCGCGTGAGTGCCAGCGCTCGCCCGTCCAGCTACTGTGAGCTCAGCTCACTGCCGGAGTTGCTGCTGCCTCTTCTTCTTGGTTTGCTTGCTTAGGATTCCTAGTAAGTGGCTTCCTAACCCTTGACTAGGCTAAGGGGTGACTAATGGACATGTTAGGGATGGTTTAAGGGCTGTGGATAGTTGGTTTAGTGGCTGGTTGTGCTTGGTTTGCTTGGTGGTGCTTGTTGGTTAATTTCCGGTAAGGTTGCTGCTGCGTCGCTGGATTTTGCTATTTTTACTGTGACTTGTGTGGGCCGAATTTGAGGAAGTGTTCTTCATGAAAGTTGTTCATAACATCTTGAGGTTTGACATATATTAAATCTGGAATTTTTGGAGACCATTTAGTTCCATTCGTAAGTCCATTTTTGGACCGAATTCAGTCTGCAGGATTTACTGTTCATCCGACCTTCTGGTCTTTCCGATTTTCTAAAAATTTTTCCAGACCTCTTTTCAACAAACTTCCTTCACAAAAATTGTTAAGAAAATTTGTTTCTATGACATATAAAAATTTGAAGGCTTTCCAAAATGATTTGGGTACTGGATGAGATGCATTTTGATGGTCAGACGGCCTGACCGGACGGGTTGAATTTTGTCTGACTTCAAGTGACAAAAAGAGGTGTTTACAGTAGGAACTGGGTTTTGAGTTCTTCGCGGAAAATGTTTATCAAGATGTTTTATACGACATATCCAAATTTCATAATTTTTGGAGTTGATTTACTATTTATTTTAAAGGAAATTCGGTGACTATGTTACTGCCCAGTTTGGCCCCGATTCTGTGCATACTCGGTTTTTCTCTCTCGGGAACTGATCGGTGTTACCATGACATTTTGGTGGATTTAGTTGACATTGGGCTAATTTACAAAGATAAGAATTGGTAATGATTGTTGAGGTGTGTGCATGGTCACGACACGTTCCGTCTAGGCGGGAGTTCTAGACGATGCCCGGCGGGAGTTCGGATGCCGTCTAGGCGGGGGGTTCTAGACGTTGCCGATCGCGGTAGAGGCCGGATCGATGCTCCTTTGTGGAATGCCGTCTGGGCGGGGGTTCCGGACGTTGCCGTCGCCGAAGTAGCGGGACGATGCCTGGTTACGCCAGAAGACCGGCGGGAGTTCGGTGGCCCGAGGTGTCGTTAATAATCTGGACTTAATGAGTGCGATTTGCATTGGGGAATGCTTTGCCTGAGTTAATTGATGAGCACGTCTGGATTATTAACCATGTTATGCTTGATCATGCCATGAATTGCTTTGCGTGTGCTTGATGGGCAATTGGCCATGTTATGGCGATATTCTAACGTGCAGGGCTTGTGTATGCGCCAAGGCGAGGTAAGGACGCCTGTGATTGTTTATGGCACGTCGATTGTTTGAATCGCATGTTTAGAATTGTTCGGAAGTACGCTTTGGCCTAAGCGAGGCTTAGGTAGTTGCTTATTGAGAAGTGTTCTCATGGTTGTATAACCAAACCATTTCAGACCAGCGACCGTGATTGATCCGGAGACGTTGCCAGGATACTACGGGGATTGAGGATAGGTCGAGTTACCTCGTTTTTTGAGTGCACCTTTTTGTAGAGGAGTTAAGCTTACCAACCACCCGATCCATGTTATTGTGCGTGGTTCGTAGATAGTGGCCTCGTAGAAGGCTTGCAAATGTATGTGTTGTAATCGATGTTGTGTTTATAAAAGTGTCTTGTTGATGTGTATTCTTTGTCTCTCTACTATCCCGTTGTTTATATGTTGTACGGAGAGTTCGAGGTTGCTTCCGCATGTGTTACTCGTTAGTGTTTCGATTGGGTCGGCGACAAGTCCTGGGCTGTCGCGTACATTACGACCACAAAGGGATGATCGCGCGCTCGTAGGTTCGGGGCGTGACAAATCCAGTAGGTGATGGCCACAATGATGATGATAATGAGATTCCTGATGATGATGCTGATGATGATGATGATCCTTGCTAGTTTAAATTTCCAAGAGGTACTTATATCTTTATGCTTCTGCTGTTGAATAGATGTGAAAAAATTAACAGGGGTTAGGAGTTTGATATTGTGATGTTTGCGCTGCAGATGGACAGGACTTCGATTCTTGGAGAACACTATAGACAACGTGAAAGAACTTCTTGGCAAGATCAACAGTTTGCCAACTGGCTAATTTAGAACTTTGTTTCATTTCTTTCTTTTTGGGGTTTGTTCTTGTCTTGACTGTGATTTTCTATCAATGTTAATTAGATTTCAAATCGAAATCGTCCCTAAACAACATTCGTCCCTAAATTATTCATTAAAATTCGTCGCCAAATTCGTTTTCGAATAATGTTTGTCGCAAAAGTCAAAATTTTTCGTGGCAAAATAATGACCAAAATTTTTTTTTTTGACAAATTAGCCACGAATTTTGCAACGAATAAGTTCGTCGCAAAAAACCGACAAAAAAAAAATATGGTCCCAAATTAGCCACGAATTTTGTTTGTGGCAAATTAGCCACGAATTTTGCCACTAAATGTGTTCGTGGCAAATTACCCACGAATTTTGCCACGAATAAGTTCGTCGCAAATAATTGAAAAAAAAAAATTGTGGCAAATTAGCCACGACTTTTGCCACGAATAAATTCGTCGCAAAAAAATGAAATTTTTTTTTTGGCAAATTAGCCACGAATTTTGCCACGAAATGCGAGAAATTTTGCCACGGATAATTAGCAACGATTTTTGCCACGAAATATTTCGTCGCAATTTCGCGACCAACAAAAAAAAATTATCAAAATAATAGCGATGACTTTTGCCACGAATAGATCTCGTGGCAAATTAGCGACGAATTTTGACACGAATATTTAGCCGAAGTTTGCCACGAGTAATTAGCGACGAATTTTGCCACGAATAATGTTCGTGGCAAATTAGAGACGGAAGTTTGCCACGAATAATGTTCATGGCAAATTAGCCACGAATTTTGCCACGAATAATTAGCGACGAATTATTTTTCGTTGCAAATTAGCCACGAATAATTAGCGACGAATTTTGCGACGAATTTTTTTCGTCGCAAATTAGCCACGAAAATTGAAATTTTCCGTGGCAAAATTTTGCGACGGCCTATTAGCGACAAATTTTTTTCCGTCGCTAAACCCGGCTTTTTTTGTAGTGTTGGGTTTGCTCTTTCTTCGATCAAGAGGAAGTCCTGGAAGTCTCTCTGGTGAAAATCGACGCCGGTGAATGTGCTTCACACGAGAATGAACTGCAACGATGTCAGAAGTAAAATTGTCCAGGAATTTTCTAGAATCCGAACATGAAATCGAAAATGTTTGCATATAGGAAAATTGATGTGACATTGAAGGGACTTCCTCCCTTGATAACAATAGTAACTCTAGCCAAACGTATAATATACGTTTTTGGGGTCATTTTAAAGTGAGTGCTCTTGGCATACTTGTGTTAAATATAATTGATATGGCAATTAATTCAATCTCCAAAAGTAGTGATTATACATAACGCGAGAGTAATCATAGCATTAAAAAATTGGAAGTTTTTTCATACCACCTTCTTTCCCTCTCTCAACTTCCCAACATACGTTGGCAGCTCTAAACTGTATCACAGCAGTATCTCTAGCTATGATGGTGGGGGTGATGGGTTTGGTCTAGGGTCTCTGCTTTTTGTGGCACTTTTCTTTGTTTTGTACACTTTCTTGTGATTGAACCCATAATGAATTGGACTGTTTGTGTTTCGAATTGAAGTGAGATTGTCTAGGTTTCTATACTTGCCATTATGAAGAAGGTAGCAAAGTATAACTTTC